TTACTTACGTTACCTACGTAAGTTAAGTAAAAGTAAAGAAGTAGTAGTAGAGTAGTAGTGTGTAGGTACCGTACGTTACGTCTACTCTCTACTGCTACTCTCTCTCTCTCTCTCTCTCTCTCTCTCTCTCTCTCTCTCTCTCTCTCTCTCACAGAAAAAAATAGAACATTAGGTTCCATACAACGTCTTGTTAGTATGTGGTTCCATACAACATCCTGTTAGTATGTACAAAGTAAACAATTACACTGATGCCTTTTGAAAATTGACAGCATACACTTACATCCTAAAGATGGCAAACAAAGCAATAAAGCACATAAAAAAAAAACTAAGCAAGTGTAATTCCAAATTCACAGATTGCTTTCATGTGTATGCTCTAAACACATCCTCCAACATCCAGGAAAATATTTGCAAAGTAACTAGATAATTTTTTATTTTCAATATTTTTGTCACTGCCAACACTTATTTAGAGAGATCTAGACTCCTGTGGGCCATACCACCAAATAGCTGCCTAAATTCCACACAACTCCCATTAAAACGTGAAGTGTCTAGTATTGGTAGCTTATTTAGAGACACCCTTGGATGTGGGTATTTGTGTTTCTATGGATATCCGGCAGGTCTTGTGGGAGGGGAATTACATTTTTGCCCCTGAATGGGCGAGGTTTCTACCCATGAACAAAGGCTTCTCTGTGGTGCATCACAGAATCCCCCCTTGTGAAAAAGTTTTTGGGTGGGAGCGGGGAAAGGAGGGGGGGAAGGAATGTGGGGGGTGCAATGCACCATGGGGGTATAACGCAGTATATGGCCACATAATGCGTTATGCAGCCGTATTTGATCACAATGTATTGGCTGATATTAACAGCACCGGCGCTGCCCACATTGCTATGTGACAGTGTAGCCCATAAAGTCAAAATCAACTGATATGGTCAAGTATCAATGAGTTAGAGGTCACTAGGCTGAAAGAAAATCAGGGCTACTTGTCATTCCCGCAAAATCATTCAGAGGATTACTTTAAGCCAAGTGAACTCATTTTGGATTTGACACCTTTCTGGGGGTGCAAATTTATCCCCAGGTTTTAGAGAGTGATACCAGATATTTGGAGACAAATATCTGGAGAAGCAGAAACTGAAGCTAGTAGTGCAATAAAAATATTTTGGATTGTTTTCTTTAAAAGAGTGGCGACAGCCATTATATATTGGGCAAGCTTTCTATGCTTCCCCTACAGCATAAAACTTATATACTTCCCTTTATCCAACCGTCCATTATGGATGGAGGGCTAAGATTGCCCCAATCACAATGTCAAATCTCTACACTATTTTATTTTTAATTTTTTTCTATAAACTATTTTGACCCCAAATTTTGGATGTCCAATCCTCTATTAACTCGCACTAGCGAAAAATTTAAAAAATATTTCCAATAAAATAAAATGACCAAAATACCCCTGAAAGTTTCAAGGGGTAATTTGGTCATTATATTTTATCAAAAACTTATTTTTAATATTTTTTATAGGTGCACCCCAATGACAAGATGGCACAAACCAAATTTCATATTCATACAA